AATAGGCAGAGCACAGAGGATTTCAAGGCCGTGAAAGAATACTATAATGATGGACACATATCATTATGCCTTTGTCACAACCCCTAAACTGTACAACACCAAGAGTTAGCTCATATGAACTATGGGCTTTGGTTGATGATGAGTCAATGTAGTTTCATCAATTGTGACAAATGTACTATCTTGGTAGGGGATGATGGGGAAGCTATCAAGTGTGTATCCTTTTACTTGCTGTGAACTTAAAACTGCTCTAAAAAAGTCTTAAAAAGAAAAAGGTGCTCCAGTCCTGAAACCAGATATTTTCCAGGAATTATGGGTCATATTAGCGGTAGATTGAGTTGAGAAACTAAAGATCTAGCACTAGGTGTGCTCAACTGTCTGTGATGTATCCTTAATACTAGGCCCCTTTGGTTGGCAGAACTAAAATGAAACACTACACACACACACACACACACACACACACACACACACACACACCTCTATGTATTCATACCAATAACTGCAATTTCAACTATAATATTCATTTTAATCTTCCTTGTTTTCATGTCTATAGCTCCATTTTTTAAAACTGAAACACATAACTTTCATTATTGTCAGTGTATCTAATTATTTGCTCAATCTTACAATATACTAGTCTAACCCCTACACTGGAAAATTAGTCTTTGTAACTGAAATCGTGTTTATTTATGTTTATTTTTCTCTTTAGACCTTAATTATATAGCCAAAAAATTGTATTTGAAAGTTAGTTAGCTTTTTAAAATATATATATCATTATTCCATTTTGTGTGGTTATATTATTTATTTGAATTCAGTTAGGTTCATTAGTTTCTGGTCCCATTCCATTTCCCCCTAATTTTTTTATATTTTATCCTACTTAACATTTTTTAATAAACTTTACATTTTTCAAAAAGTCAAAACTCTATAAAAAGCTGTTCTCAAAGAAGTGTCATTTTCCTTTCTCTTCTTATATTCACCCAGGTAGTCAATTAACCAATTAGTTTCTGGTTTACCCATCTATGTTTAATTTTGGGAATAAATGGACATACACAGGTAGAAGTTTATTATTGTCCTTCTTTCTTACAGAAAAGGTAACATACTGTACATAAAGTATGCTGAAGTTTTGCTCTTTTCACTTAATAATATATCCTGGAAATGCTCCACATTAGTTTAGAGCCATCTTTGTCATTTTCCCCTGGCGGTATAATGCTCCACTGTGTGAATATATCATAACTTAACCAGTTTCCTATGTAAGGAAATATATGTTGTTGCCAATATTTTGTAATTACAAATAAAAATAATGTGAGCCAGGGTACTTTTATTTTATGGGGATAAAAGCCATGAGTTTTAAATCAGCTCTTTTTTTTTTTTTTTAAGTTAAACACATATAGAAATATCAAAAGCCATCTTTTTGGATGTGTAAAATGAAGATTCACAGCAATATGCTTGCTGCAAAGCCAGCAGGAAATTCTATGGTCTGGAAAACTGTAACTATGTTTGTGGAAGTAGAAATTGTACCACATATTTGTAGAACAGCAAGGCAAGTGTGGTCTCTAGGAAGTATAGGCAGAGTTGATTAGATTGCAGTGTATACTTAAAAGTTGAATAATGCACTCTTGTAAAACACTCTTCAAAATTATTTAACTTCCCATGATATCATCACAGCATGTGCAAAAAAATCTTTAGTGTTATCTTTTCCTGTCACATGACTAGTGCAAACAAAAGAAATCCTTATCTTTTTGTTTCTATTCTGGCCCTTTATAAAATGGCATTAAGCACCATTCAAAACGTACACATTAAAGGTTTGGTTGGGGGGGGGGAAAGACTTATTTTGTATTTCAAATGAATTGCATTTGTTAAATTATAAAGCAGAATATCCCCCAACAACGGAAGGTGTCTAGCATCTTATATGCATGGAAAACTGCACAGTTTTAAAAACACTTTCCTAAATATGTTCACATTTAAATCCCATAGCAATCCTAGATGTAGTGAACTAGGCAGGAGTCATATTATTCTTATTGTACAAAAGAGGCAACCGGCCTGACAGAGCCTAAGGACATTGCCCTGGGATGTAGGACTAAACCCTGAACTAGAAGCTGGGAGGGTTTTCCCCCCTTATAATGTGGACTGTGCTCATCTCATAGGATTATTGTGGTGAGCAAATACTAGTAAGACAATGCACTGGAAAATACCAACACTGCACAAAGAGAAGGTATTTCTATTATTAAAGTCCTTGGGCCAAGACCAGTTTGGCTCAATGGATAGAGCGTCAGCTTGGGGACTGAAGGGTCCCGGGTTCGATTCCGGTCAAGGGCATGTACCTTGGTTGAGGGCATATCCCCAGTAGGGGGTGTGCAAGAGGCAGCTGATCGATGACTCTCTCTCATCGATGTTTCTAACTCTCTATCTTTCTCCCTTCCTCTCTGTACAAAATCAATAAAATATATTAAAAAAAATAAAGTACTTGGGTTTTGGTGACTATGTATAAAATGTCCCCATATTTTTGCATATATAAATAATATAAAAGACTTAAGCAGTCTTAGAGCTATAAGTCACACAGCAAGACTTAGAGTGTGAGGAAATGTTTTATAGAATTAAAACATTTCATTTTGTACCAAACTAGTACTCAAGGAACAGGTGATGATGTTATATATCCATGGTGGCATAATTAATAGCATTATATGTTGTGCAGAACTTAGACCTTGAAACAAACCTCATTAAAAGGTACTTGATCTTTGTTTTAAACCTTTAAGTATCTCTTCTTTAAAAGTGATCGATGTATGTACTGGCCATTTTAGTTATCCTGCTATGAGATTCACACAACTTTGATCTAACTTTCTTTGATTTAACACTGCAATTAAGAAGATTTGGTTCAAAGTAAAAGCTCATTGGTTGGTGTTTTACACTGATGTGATAATGTTTACACAGATGTCCTTTGAAATCTTGATGATGGTGGATTGCGGGGTCCCACCACAAGGCAGATTGCTGTTATTTGAAAGGTAAAACAATATGACAGTTACCTGGTACAACCTTTAAAACAGACTTGGCAGTATACATTTCTAAAGTGACTTATCTGTTTATTGTTTTTAGCCAATGTTTTTGTTTTATTTCATATCTATCAACAGTAAATCACTTGTATTAAGGACTCTTTTATAACTTGGTGGCACAAGGGTCAGTCCTTGGGGCCACAGTGATGAAAAGGTGTAACTTTACCTACTTTAAAGCACCTGCCAATTAATTAGCAAACCCTCCTCCCCCAAACCTTTAGACCAAATAAAATAAAGCGCTTCCATCCATTTGGGCTCCCAGGTTTAGGCTTTTGCTGAGTAGACAATGAAACAAGACTGGAAAACTAATCTTTGATGGCCTCAAACTTTTTGCTCAGCGGAAGCATAAATCTCCCAAAAGATGGATTCTCAATGCTTCTGCCGCCGAAAAAAAGCAATGGGAACATCTTGAATTTAACTAGTGGTCCAAACCCAGAGTTTATAAGTTCAAATGGAGATGCATCCAATTCCTTCACTTCAATGATTTTTCTATTTAATAAATACATATAGGCATTCTTTCATTTTTTTTACCAGTTACTTTCCATATCTCAAAAACATGTCAAGAATCAACACTGTTTTTATAATGAAAAGTAAACTAAAAATCTAACCTTAAAGGAAACGCAACCAGAAAAAAGGCACGTGCTCTTGAGTTGGGAAGGGTCCCAGAGCCTCCTCACTATTGACACTATTACAGATCTTCATTTCTATTCCTGGCAAATACAAGGATGAGCAATACTCCTTTCCCGCCTGTTTGGATTTACTCACAATCTCCAGACTCAGGGTTTATTCTATTATTATATTATATTGATGAAAAGTTCACCATCTTCGCACCCAGTGTTACACTGCAGCACGGCTGTAAGACAATCTTGGCTATCTCGTGTGCTGACTAATGATTCACATTGAAGAGGGCCTGGGGAGGGGGATCCCCTGTGTGTGTTTCTAACCTAACCCTGATTAGGTAAAGAAAATCCCCCATCTGAATGATAAAAGAAGAGAGGAACGCTTGTGCATTTTATTAGTGTTTTAAAATTAGTGAGTTAAACTGTCAAAGCTTTGATTCTCCTTTCATGTGTGTCTGGGCAGGTCTAAGCCTCGGGTAACACCCTTTCCCCCTTTTCCCTCTCCTACCTTACTTTGCACCTGTCCACTGCGGGCTCTCCAGGCAGCCCACGGAGTCCAATTCTCCTCCTCTCCGCTCCTCCCCTCCCCCCCCCCCCCCCCCCCGGCTCCCCTTCCCCTCGCCCTCGCCCTCCCAGCCGCCCCTCCCGCCCCGCTCCCCCTGCTCCTATATACCTGCCAGGCCGGGCCCTGCCAGCAGCCATCCATCCATCACTGCGGAGGAGCGCACTTCAAAGGCAGCAGGGCTGTTCCCGGGCGGCCGGCCGCAGAGGGGCCTTGGCTGCCCCCGGACCCGCCGGCCGGCGCTGGCCACGTGTGGGGATGCTTGTTGCGGCCGCGCGGACAGAGGACCGTTCCGGGGGCCCTTTGGCCACTTCGGAAGCGCTGAGACCTGTTGCGAGGAGGAGGCCGGTGTAGGGTTTCAAACAGAACCTCCCCGGCGCGCTTGAAAGGACCGATTAGCATATGTCAGGAGGCCCCGCTTATATACTCGGCGGCGCGTGTGTCTGCGCGCGGGACTGCCTGCTCTGATCCGGTGCGGAGCGGAGCGGAGCCCCGGCCCCCGGCCCGGTGCAGCGGCCGCAGCTCTGGATGCTTCTGCGGAGCCGGCCCGCTCCCACCTGCCCGCGGAGAGAGGATCGCCCCGGCACCTGCACCGCGGCCGCCGCGCCCCGGCCGCCTGGGCGCACCGTGCCCCCCGCCGCCTCCCGGGAGGAGCCGGGCATTAGCCTTGCGCGCTCCGTTCGCCGCCGTCCTCCTTCTGCACCCGCCGCCCCCGCCCCGGCTGTGCTTTTCACTGGGGGGGTTCTGCCTTCGCCTCTGCCGCCGACCCCTCCCGCCATGGCTCCCTTGGCCGAGGTGGGGGGCGTGCTGGGGGGCCTGGACGGCCTGGGCCAGCAGGTGGGCTCGCACTTCCTGCTGCCCCCGGCCGGGGAGCGGCCGCCGCTGGGCGAGCGGCGGGGCGGCGAGCGGGGCGCCCGCGGGCCGGGGGCGGCGGAGCTGGCGCACCTGCACGGCATCCTGCGCCGCCGGCAGCTCTACTGCCGCACCGGCTTCCACCTGCAGATCCTGCCCGACGGCAGCGTGCGCGGCACCCGGCAGGACCACAGCCTCTTCGGTAGGTACCTGCGCCCCGCCCGGCTCCTCCTCCTCTCCACGCCCCCGGCCGCCTCCCTCCTCCCCTGCCCGCGCGCGGGGGCACCAGGCTGGCGGCGGGGCTCAGGGAGCGGCGGGGACCCCTAGGACTTGTCCTCTGACTGAGGTGGGCCCCGCGGCTCCGGATGCGGGGGGTGGGGGGAGGCGGAGGAAAAAGGGGTGGGGGGCCACACGCGCTTGATTTCCCAGCCCTTCTGCCACCTGGGATCTTTCTAGCACCACCTACCTCGAAGGCAGTGTTTTGTTTGCATTTGTTTGGTTTTTAAAAAATTCCTATATTATTTCCTCCCACTTCCTGTCACCCCCTCCCCCAAAGTTTTATCAGCAAAAAGCAGTAACAGGAAGCATTCAGCTTCTTTACACATACCCTACAGTTAAGCACCCAGGGCTGCTCTGCTCTTGTATGGGATGCGAGCATTCACCTGCCACACAGTGAGTGTCCACCTAGAGCACAGTGAGTGTCCGCCTAGATAGAGCACAGTGAGTGTCCGCCTAGAGCACAGTGAGTGTCCACCTAAGCACAGTGAGTGTCCGTCTAGACAGAACACAGTGAGTGTCCGCCTAGATAGAGCACAGTGAGTGTCCGCCTAGACAGAGCACAGTGAGTGTCCGCCTAGAGCACAGTGAGCGTCCGCCTAGATAGAGCACAGTGAGTGTCCACCTAGATAGAGCACAGTGAGTGTCCGCCTAGATAGAGCACAGTGAGTGTCCGCCTAGATAGAGCACAGTGAGTGTCCGCCAGAGCACAGTGAGTGTCCGTCTAGATAGAGCACAGTGAGTGTCCACCTAGATAGAGCACAGTGAGTGTCCGCCTAGATAGAGCACAGTGAGTGTCCACCTAGATAGAGCACAGTGAGTGTCCGCCTAGACAGAGCACAGTGAGTGTCCGCCTAGATAGAGCACAGTGAGTGTCCATCTAGATAGAGCACAGTGAGTGTCCGCCTAGATAGAGCACAGTGAGTGTCCACCTAGATAGAGCACAGTGAGTGTCCGCCTAGACAGAGCACAGTGAGTGTCCGCCTAGATAGAGCACAGTGAGTGTCCGCCTAGATAGAGCACAGTGAGTGTCCGCCTAGATAGAGCACAGTGAGTGTCCGCCTAGATAGAGCACAGTGAGTGTCCGCCTAGATAGAGCACAGTGAGCGTCCGCCTAGATAGAGCACAGTGAGTGTCCACCTAGATAGAGCACAGTGAGTGTCCGCCTAGACAGAGCACAGTGAGTGTCCGCCTAGAGCACAGTGAGTGTCCGCCTAGATAGAGCACAGTGAGTGTCCGCCTAGACAGAGCACAGTGAGTGTCCGCCTAGAGCACAGTGAGCGTCCGCCTAGACAGAGCACAGTGAGTGTCCGCCTAGATAGAGCACAGTGAGTGTCCGCCTAGATAGAGCACAGTGAGTGTCCGCCTAGATAGAGCACAGTGAGTGTCCGCCTAGATAGAGCACAGTGAGTGTCCGCCTAGACAGAGCACAGTGAGTGTCCGCCTAGATAGAGCACAGTGAGTGTCCATCTAGATAGAGCACAGTGAGTGTCCGCCTAGATAGAGCACAGTGAGCGTCCGCCTAGATAGAGCACAGTGAGTGTCCACCTAGATAGAGCACAGTGAGTGTCCGCCTAGACAGAGCACAGTGAGTGTCCGCCTAGAGCACAGTGAGTGTCCGCCTAGATAGAGCACAGTGAGTGTCCGCCTAGACAGAGCACAGTGAGTGTCCGCCTAGAGCACAGTGAGCGTCCGCCTAGACAGAGCACAGTGAGTGTCCGCCTAGATAGAGCACAGTGAGCGTCCGCCTAGACAGAGCACAGTGAGTGTCCGCCTAGATAGAGCACAGTGAGTGTCCGCCTAGATAGAGCACAGTGAGTGTCCGCCTAGATAGAGCACAGTGAGCGTCCGCCTAGATAGAGCACAGTGAGTGTCCACCTAGATAGAGCACAGTGAGTGTCCGCCTAGACAGAGCACAGTGAGTGTCCGCCTAGAGCACAGTGAGTGTCCGCCTAGATAGAGCACAGTGAGTGTCCGCCTAGACAGAGCACAGTGAGTGTCCGCCTAGAGCACAGTGAGCGTCCGCCTAGACAGAGCACAGTGAGTGTCCGCCTAGATAGAGCACAGTGAGTGTCCGCCTAGATAGAGCACAGTGAGCGTCCGTCTAGATAGAGCACAGTGAGTGTCCGCCTAGATAGAGCACAGTGAGTGTCCGCCTAGACAGAGCACAGTGAGTGTCCGCCTAGATAGAGCACAGTGAGTGTCCATCTAGATAGAGCACAGTGAGTGTCCGCCTAGATAGAGCACAGTGAGCGTCCGCCTAGATAGAGCACAGTGAGCGTCCGTCTAGATAGAGCACAGTGAGTGTCCGCCTAGATAGAGCACAGTGAGCGTCTGTCTAGATAGAGCACAGTGAGTGTCCGCCTAGAGCACAGAGAGTGTCCGCCTAGATAGAGCACAGTGAGTGTCTGTCTAGATAGAGCACAGTGAGTGTTCGCCTAGAGCACACTGAGTGTCCGCCTAGATAGAGCACAGTGAGTGTCTGCCTAGATAGAGCACAGTGAGTGTCCACCTAGACAGAGCACAGTGAATGTCCGCCTAGATAGAGCACAGTGAGTGTCCGCCTAGATAGAGCACAGTGAGTGTCCGCCTAGAGCACAGTGAGTGTCCACCTAGATAGAGCACAGTGAGCGTCCGCCTAGATAGAGCACAGTGAGTGTCCGCCTAGATAGAGCACAAGGATTGTCCACCTGCAGAGGTAACAGGTTAGATTCCCTTTTGCCCTCACTCCTGTCAGGCTCATCTGGCAGCTCTCCTCTGCGCTTAGTTCTATTTGGCTAAGAAAAAAAAGCCTGTGGCTACTGAGCATGCCCAGTCCCTCAGGTAGGCTCCTCTTTACAAACTATGAAACCCCAAAGCAAAGACCTTGGTGTTGACCACATGTAAGAGGAAATGGGGAAGCGAAAGGAGATATGGGTGGGAACACCTGGGAACAGGTTTCGGAATACCTCCAGCAGTGCTGGGAGCCGCAGGGTTAAAGGGAAGAAACAAGGGAGTGATTGTTAAGGCAGATTACTAAGTCACTAGACTGGGGAATCATAACGTCTCCACTGTTAATTCCTTCCTAACTTGCAAGTGCCCTCACCAGTTTGAGCATTAGTTTTCTTGACTGTTCAAGGAGGGGATTGAATAGGTGATCACTTTAAGATGCTTTCTGGTTCTGACATCCTGGGATCTTCTCTCTCCTCCTCCTCCCCCCCCCCCCCCCCATTGCCAAGTTCATCATATTACAGTTAACTGCCTAGCACTCTCAAAGGGTTTTGATCATCAAATTTGGGACATCATTGGAGAGATTCACTGTCTTTTTCTTTTCTTCCCTCCTCCTCCTTCCTTCTCCCCCCCCCCCCAAAAAAAAAAAAGATACTATTTACTGGTCAGCAGCAATGTGAAAGAGTCCCACAGGGGTCAGATTTCCCTTACCTTCCTCAGCACTGCAGGATTTTTTGAGAACCTCTTCTCCAAATGACCTTCCTTCTATCTTGTCCTCTTCGCCTTGTTTTACTCTCATTCCCTTTTTGCCCGCAGTACTCATTTAAACTTTGGAGAAGTGGAAATCTTGGACCGAGTGGCTTTTGTCACTCTCAATGTAGAAAAGAGCATGTGGTGATCATTGGGTAGCACTCATAGGCCTAGAAAATGGGTAAAGGTAGAAAGCTATTGAAGGAAGTCCCAAGTACAGAAAGTATGTCTATATACTTTTCCAGCAGAGTCTAAGAAGAAGAACAAGACAAAGACATTAGTCCAAAGGTTAGAGAATGCATGTTGCAGACATAGACATTAAGTTTTGTGGGGTGTTTTATTGTTGTTTTTCTTTACTATGGTATTTTAATGTATTAAGTGGAGAGTTTTTAAGGCTACATTATGTACCTCTGGAAACACATGCAATTCATGAAACCTCCCTAATGACAAGAGTTGCTTCTTCCACTTTGTGTCTCTTTATAAGACTATTGGAAGAGATGAGTAAATATTTGTACACTTGATAACACTCATTAAACTGCTATTTAAATCCATTCTTTAAGAAATGAAGTTTGCACATCAGAATTACTATCTTACGGTAATTTTTTTTATCTTACGTTAATTTTTTTGCTAAAATTTTGTATAATTAATCAGTAAATGCAAAAATATGAATGATTGATTTTTGTGCTAGTTTGTCACTCTATGATGAGAGGCTACTTATCAGAATAAGATATTTACTGTCACAAAGAGAAGATAACCAGATTGGTCTGGTAGCCTAAAGGAGTGAACAGACTCTACAATGCATTACAGTGCCTCCTAGTGGCCTCTGATAGCTAAGACATCATAATTTACTACAAAGGAGTGTAGGTGAGAAGGAAGCGTATGTTTAGCATTTTAAATTTTATATGTTTCTCTACTTGCCTTCTTTTCCTACAGTTTTAATTACTAATTATGAAATTATTTTGCCATTTTTCTTTTAGACTCATTTCTGGGTCTTCAAAAACCTAATTTTGAAAAGATTGGATATTTCTGATGTAAATTAACATGTTTGATAATTTATACTGATTTGGTTACAATTAAGTAAAAAAAAATCAGAATTCTGGATTTTAAAATTTCAAAACCACATCAATAGACAGAAAGGTCCCAGTGAGGTTAAAATAATTTCCTATTGGAGTTAGCCCTATACTTATAATAGAGTTTCTCTGCACAGTAGTATATTACCTAATACCTAAACATGGAATCATTACTTTAAAAAAAGCTTAACAGAGATCAAACATATTTCTTTAGAGGCTTTTCCCTTATTCTCCCCTATTCTCCATAGATTTGTCTGATGTGGTTGCATTGTGGGTTGACTCACCTGTTTATTATGATTTAAAAGAAGGCTGGCTTTGAAAATGATACCAGAAAGACAAAGTACCTCCAAGTCTTTTTATGGGACACTGGGCATTAGAAAATCTATCTAAAATCTGTGATTACCTCTTAAGGAAAGTTTTTCATGTCTGCTCTTTGTGAAGGAATTAGCTTAGTTGCCACCTCATATTATAAATAAAAAAGACTTGTCAAATCTCATTTAAGAATCTAATGACTACAAATTACCATGTGGTATACTATTTCCTTGAGGAGAAAAAGGATCAGAATTTAAAAGTGTGGCTAAAGTCTTTAAGAGGAACACATACACACAAAAAACACACATAACCCTTTCCCCATCAACCCTATGAGCCATTGCAAAATTATTTATACCAGGTTATGTATGAAGTTTTGGATGTTATTTAATAAAGTTGAAACTATCTAATAGGATTATTCTAAGAATGTGTAATTTCTGTCTTTCCACAATATCATATTTTTGACAAGATAGCAATTTCTTAAGATGAGAATTAAAGTATAAGTGGTTTCAGTTTTGCAAGAAAAATGAATATAAGATCTATTTTATAATTGGTCTATATGTAAATGAAACATATTTTATTGTATTTTGAAAACTGGCTCTATTATGCATCCTAATCAGTTAATCAGTTCCTGTTCTTTGAAAGACAGGAGCATCTTAATGTAAATCAGATACTTAAATAAAATTAAGTTACATGTGGACCATGGTATCCTTTTCAATTTAAATTTAATATTCAATACAACTTCAAGTAATTACACATTTACAAGTATATCCTGGATGAAATTCCATTAACCTATCTGCTTCTACCAACATGATTTGGCCTGATATTTTTATTTCTAATATAAATTCATCATTATTGAACTTGACAGCAAATTTAAAAAATATATTTTGTTGATTTTTTAAAGAGAGGAAGGGAGAGGAATAGAGAGTTAGAAACATCAATCAGCTGCCTCTTGCACACCCCCCACTGGGGATGTGCCCACAACTAAGGTACATGCCCTTGACCGGAATCGAACCTGGGACCCTTCAGTCTGCAGGCCGACGCTCTATTCACTGAGCCAAACCGGTTTTGGCATTGACAGCAAATTTAATTACCATTTATTCCCTACCTCTAAAGTTGTCATTATAATAGCTATTCTATGGCGTCTGTGTCTTCCTGCTATGTCTTCTCTTCTCTCTGCCTTAGGGACACTGACTCTTTTAAGCAACTTATAGTCTATTTAGGAATGTATTGTTGTTGTAAAATCCTTGATGGCTCTTGTATTTCTAAATGATCTTCTAATAGTTTGAAAGCATTCATTTGGGCTCTTAAGAATCTACATGAAAGCTTAAGAATCTGCATTTTTGCCAAAGAATGTAGTAGGCTCTGGACAGAATAGAGCCCTCTGTATAGGAAAATAACTAGATTTTGAATTTTTCCTTGGACTTAGGAACATCTTGTGACCAAATAGAAACTTGCACAATAGTAAAAAATGACTTAAAAGCAAAACTCAGGCTAAATGGTGCACATTCACACTGTTTGTAGAGCTTAAGAGGGGGTGAATGGGTAAGGGTAGAAAGCTATTGAAGGAAGGAAGTTCCAAGTACAGAAAGTATGTCTATATACTTTTCCAGCAGAGTCTAAGAGGAAGAACAAGACAAAGACATTAGTCCAAAGGTTAGAGAAAGCATGTTGCAGACATAATCATTGTTTTGTGGGTTTTTTTTTTTTTTCTTTATATGGTACTTTAGTGTATTAAGTGGAGAATTTTTAACACCAGTTTACCTTCTGGTAAATGAAAATAATTTCAGAAAATTATTAATAGAAAATTGATTTGCATGCTAAATTCTTGATATTTGGCTATCACATTTAATGAATTATAAAGTGTTTTTTTATTTATTTGAACTATAAAATTTACTTTTAAAAATCATGTAACAGAAAATAGCATATTATGTAAAGTTTGAAACTACTGTATTGTCTTCAAGAAACAGTGTCCTGAAGTAGAAACATTGGATTAAAGTTCAGAAGTGTGAGTTCAAGTATTACAGATGTCATGTCCTTGGGCAAGTCAGTAACTACCTCCTTGAGCCTCAGTTTCTTTATCTGTAAATGGGATGATAATATCTCCATACCTATGCTAGAGGACTGTTTTTGAGGACCAGATAGAAAATGTAAATAGAAGATTCTCAATAAACTATAAAATACTAACATATCCATATAAGTTATACTGGTTGCAGCTAGAAAAAGATTGACTTGACTCACGGCACACAGAAAAACCCACACAAAAACACAAACCCCCACAAAAGCATAATTAATAGGACATGATTATAATTAACTAATGAGATCACAGAGAGCTAAGAACACCTCTATTATATACTAATTTATGGTCATAATAGCACCCATTTGTAGAATGTCTAATGTGTGTGCTAGCTCTTGCCTCTCTCTTGTAGGGAGGCATTTCCCTCAATTTGCATATGAGGAAACTGAAGTTCAAAGAAGACAAATGATTTGCATAGTTCAAATAGCCAGTGAATTACTGAACTGGCATGCAAACCCAGGCCAGTCTGGTTTAAGGTGTTATACCCTTTATGTTATGCAATGATGAGATTATTTTCTTTTTTGTTTTTCCCCATCTATAAAATGGGAGGGCCATCAGGATAAGACAGTTATACAGCACTTTTCAGTTACATAGGTCTATCACATACATAGTTATATTTATATTTAGCAATATTGATGTACTGCTGTTTGGAAGATTTTCATTAGTCATATGTTCATTAATAAACACAAATCGTTATTTTGTTTATGAATTTAGGTATCCTGGAATTCATCAGTGTGGCAGTGGGACTGGTCAGTATTAGAGGTGTGGACAGTGGTCTCTACCTTGGAATGAATGACAAAGGAGAACTCTATGGATCAGTACGTATTATTTTTTTAATTATGTGATTCATAAAACAATGACTATCAATTTTGTAAGTAAAATGTCTACTGATAATGCATTTCAGAAGAAGTATATCTATGTACAAATTAAAGTTTTATATTCTGATATGTTTCTATGTGTCTGGCAATAGTATAGCAGCTCAGTTTTATTTTCTAAAGCTTAAACACTAATGCTTTCAGTTCACTAGGCTTTCCAGCCATCATCTTAGGTCTTTTTACTTTTCTTTATCTTTTGGTCATTCCCACCAGAGATGAAAATGAGAGCATTTTCTTTCTGCCCTGTTAGATTCTTTTTGTCTTTACATTCCTTTAATGTATAATTTCTCTACTCATTATCATCCTCTAGAGTTAAGTATAGATCACTTGCTATCTTTGTTTTATTCTTTTAAAATATATTTTTATTGATTTCAGAGAGGCAGGGAGAGGGAGAGAGAGATAGAAACATCAATGATGAGAGAGAATCATTGATTGGCTGCCTCTAGTACCTCCCCCACTGGCGATGGAGCCCACAACCTGGGCATATGCCCTGACCAGGAATTGGACCATGACCTTCTGGTTCATAGGTTGATGCTCAACCACTGAGCAACACTGGCCAGGCCAAAATCACTTCTTAAAGTCAAAGTCTCTAACTAGTTACAATGACAATTTACTCTTTATGATTTAGCTGATGGGACTGTCTAGTACCTTTTTTTCCTTAAAATCTCAACTGAGATTTTATCATATGTACAATTAGAATCTCCATATATATGGCAACATTGGTTATAATATTTCAGTAAGTGGCATTCCACTTATTTTTGTCCTTCATAAGAGCAAACCTTGCTCTTTCTAGACTGTCTGTTCAGAAGCAAAATACTACATGTGTAATAACCACAAGAGTAGAATTACAATGGAAGGAGAAAAACATGCACATAATTTTCCTTTTTCATGTATATGTTGTATTAAAAAAAGTCAACTGTGGCCCACCCCTTAGAATAATATACAAGTCCATCTTGGAGAGACAAGAAATCACTGGGCTTTTACTGCATTTACCTAAAAGTAACATCCATATCAAAGTTAGTCATGGGGAATGTATCAACAAATAATTAACAAATTCATAAAATGAATATATATGATTTGGAGTGATGATCTTAAATTAGGAATTTGGATGTTAGCAAGATCTTAAAGTATTTCAAGATGTAGTAGAGATTTTCTACGTAGAACTTTGACATCTAATGATGGAACAACATAAACTACAGGCCTCTTCGGTGGTGATGGTAGGAGGAGGGAAATAAAATGGAGCATGAGAAGGTTCAGAATATTTTTCTAAGAATTTGAAAATAAAATTGGAAATTGACATGAAACAAAGTTCTTTGAATTGAACTTCTGGAAGAAAGAATTCCAAGTTACATAATAACTAAAGCAACATAAAATAAAAACAATCTTTTTCCTTCCTTGGCAAGGATATAAGTATAGGCAAAGAACTAAGAAGATAGAGTTGAGATTTTTCTAAAAAAAAAATACTTTCAAAGGTTTTCTTTCTTTTTTTAATGACAGTTATCTTCTCTCTTTTAGGAGAAACTGACTTCTGAATGCATCTTTAGGGAGCAATTTGAAGAGAACTGGTATAACACTTATTCATCCAACATATACAAGCATGGAGACACTGGCCGCAGGTATTTTGTGGCGCTTAACAAAGACGGAACTCCAAGAGATGGTGCCAGGTCCAAAAGACATCAGAAATTTACGCATTTCCTGCCAAGACCAGTGGATCCAGAAAGAGTTCCTGCATTGTATAAGGACATTCTAATATACACTTAAAGTGTAAATTGTGTCTTTACTGAAGAACCAAACTGCAACCATTTTTTCTTATTATATAATGTTTCCAGTGTAAAATAATAGCCCAGGAAGACATTCAGAATGTTTCAGAGCCTATTTTCCACTCAGAGACTGAATTTGGAAAGAATATTAAGAACAAACAAAAAAACTTTGACAACATGGTTCAAGATCTCTATACGTGGATTAAGTTCCCTTATGGACATTGACTCAGTCCTTGATGGTAGATTGAAGCTGAGAATCTATAAAACGTGGATGATGGGAACCCCACCTAATTTGCTGCTCTGGTGCCTCACCTCTCTGGATAATGTTTACTTTAAAAGTTACATTAAAAATAGATACTTCATGTTGAAGAAATGGATTGACATGGTTGGCCAGGATTACTGCTACATATATTTTAAAGACCTTGAAGGATTTTGCAGGTTATGTAAAAAATGCTATGTAAAAAACCTGGGTGTAACGTGGACTATGAAACATGCACACCAAGACGGAACATTTTTTTAAAAAAAGGATGGACCTATTTATACATTTTCAATTTTCAAATATTTATTATATATTTATTTATTAAAGAGTTTATTTTTTACTGGTATATGAAGATATTACAAAGAGAAAAAAACAACAACAAAAATTCATTTATTGTGCCATTATTCTGTTGTAGTATCTTTGTCTGTAAAGAAGACATCATTATTACAACAATTAAACATAGGACAAAATCTTGAGTTACTTTTTTAAAATAAAGTAGAGCATAGTTTATATTTTTTTGCAGTCAATTGCCTTCTAAATGTAACATTGGTTCTCTTGACCTAGAAAAATGCTTTAACAATTTGTATTGAATTCAACACACATCCCAAAGGAAATTAAAACATTTTTAACTTTTTGTTTTGGTTTCATTCCTTTTCGGGTGAAAGTTATTCTACTTGTATAACATAATAATTTAAATGACAAAATTTTAATTTCCCTAGAAAAAAGCCTCCAGTACTTAGAGAACTTCTAATGTTGAAATTTATCAAACATTATGGACAACTTACGTATTTTCTTGATTCAATGTGAAAAGAACATTTCTTTTCCTACTGTGATCACAGAAAAAATTAATCTTAGTGGTATCACCACTAACAATGGTAAGGCTCCATCTACACTGAGTATCCAGATTATTATGATCTCTGAAAACATAATAATCTGGCCACTCAGTATATATATATATTTAGTATATATATATATATGTGTGTGTGTGTGTGTGTGTGTGTGTGTGTGTGTGTGTGTGTGTAGAGAGAGAGAGAGAGAGAGAGAGAGAAAGAGAGAGAGAGAGAGAGAGAGAGAGAGAGAGAGAGAGAGAGAGAGAGAGACAGGCCCAGTGCATGAATTTGTGCATGGGTGAGGTCTGGCCAACTGGGCCAAGGGGAGGGGACATGGGTGGTTGGCTGGCTTGCCTGCTGGTTGAATTCCTGGTTGAGGGGACAATTTGCATATTAGACTTTTATTATATAGGATATACATAGAGTGGCCAGATTATTATGTGTTCAGAGATCATAATTATCTGGCTCCTCAGTGTATGTATCTGAGCCTGGTATCTTTTCCATAGTAGCTCCTATTTAATAATTTATCCAGTAAATATCCATTGAAACCTGCTATACAGAAGATACTGTTAGGCACAATGTAGTGATCAAGGCAGATGGGCCCTGCGTCATGGAGTTTAATGTCTAATAAGGAAATGGATGGTGAATAAACAAGCTAACAAATACCATAATGGTGAATTGTGACATGCTCTATGAGGAAAAAAGGATCAGACACAGGGAAAAGATAACACATTTTGATAGGATGAGTTAGAGAAAGCGTCGCTAAAGAGGTGGTGTTTTTAATGGGTCCTAAAGGATAAGAAAGAGCCAGACAGTCGGACATCCTAAGAGGAGAATAAGAGTCTTACTAGCAGAGGAGACAGTGAATGTGGAGTCCCAAAGGCAAGAAGGAGCTTCGTGGCTAGAGCTTTGTGGGAGCGTGGCACAGGTGAGTTTAGAAAGCTATGCAGATACAAATCCTGCAGATTCTTAAGGGCCTTTCTGAGGTCTGTTCGTTTCTGGCAACAGTTGTCAATGTCACTACTCTTAGATGAGCAATCATCAGTGGGGATGTGGTAATGATAATGGTAGGAGCTGTTACCTGTTTAAAACACAGATTGCTGGGCCCCAGCTGAAGAGTTTCTGACATGTTGGTCTTGGGTTGGACCTAAAACTTTGTATTTTAACAGGTTCTCAGGTAAGGATGCTATTGGCTGGAGATGATACTCTGAGAGCCACTAGTTTAGTGTAGTGTTTCTCAAACTTTACAGAACTCACAAAATCAACTGCAGGATCTTGTTAACGGATGGATTTGCTCATCTATGTCAGGAGGAGAAGAATGAAATAAGAAACATACATATTATTTCTAACACTGTCCCAGATGCTCTTTGATGCTGCTAGGCCACGGATCATACTATGAATGGCAAGACTGGCTGTTGCTTTAATGCTCTGGAGTTATTCCTATTTGTTCATCCTCCAGTTGCTTAAATAAATTAATGGTGATATGTGGGGTGAGGGTAGGAAGTTTTACACATGACTTCAATAAAACTACCTGGAAATGTGTATGCGTTGGGGGAGTTGTGTGTGTGTCTACTTGAGTGTTTTCAGGGTGAGAGAGACAGATGAAATGTCTTAGCTCGCAACCTTTTGGTTTTATGAATGGAAAAAAGAATAAAGATGGTTAAATAATCTCCAAGACAAAGTAATTCCTACTTTTTCTAGTGCTAGAATTTATCCCTATAGTACGACAATAAAGGTATGATTCTGTTCAAATGAAGTCAAACTAGATTGGTGACCAAAGTTAATAGGGATCTAAAAAATGCATTTGCTACATCAGTGATCATGGATTACTACAAGGTTGATTTAATGTTCACCTCTATTTTAGACTAGTCAAATATGGGGTAATTGGTATATGGGGTTATTATCAGTTCTTTCAACGCCCTTGTTATGTAATTTGGTAGGCTCCTATTGTACTTTGGTAATATTTGCAATTGTGATATATAGTTGTTCTAGAGGCTCCCACGTGGTATGCCCAAATGTTTGGGTCCTATTCTTTAACCTTTTGAATGTTCTTTCCATTCCTAGAATTGCAATAAGTCACTTGCAATTACACAATCAGGGGAAGGAGATGTCACTTCAGGAAAACTTCTTTGGTCTTCTGTATCCAGCAGTTATCGCATCCATATCCTTCAATAGTCAAAATGATTTCTCTACCTATATTCTAGTTTCCCAGAATTAATGTTATTTTTGATCCTGTATCTAAAGGTCCCTGAGATTCTTGAATACTATCCTTTGTTCAAAACAGGACTTTCCAGGCATTGTAATGGACCTGCTTGCATGTTAAGGACTTTGGGCAATTTGTCCTTCCCTTTGAAAGACTGGGTCTGATCTCCAGACTTTAGGGCCAGGCTTCTTAAATTAAGGGAGATCAAAAGAAATCAAAGGAAACGCTTTGGAAGTTGTTCTTTGTTTTTCATGTGTAGGGAGTTTATACTTAAGATTTACAAAGTCCTTGTCTCAGTGTTCCCTCTCTTGGCTCAGCTCCCAGTGATTTTGAAGTGGCTTGTTGCTATCTGTGCAGAGGGTTTGCCAAGGTTGTTGCTATGGCTGCTGTGCCAGCAAGTTTAGTTGATTCTTGTGTCCTATTGATTGCCTGTGAATCTTAGCAACTTGCCAGTGTTCCTCTTATGAACTTGGGAAAGTTCTCCCAAATCTAATAACTCTTTGTCTTAGCCCACAGTTGCGCAGACAACAACCCTAGTCCAAATCCAAATCTTTCCATTAGCCAGTTCTCCAGAAATTTCCCATGAAATTCATGTTTTCATGGAAAGCTATTAGGAGGAAGAAACAGAACCCTTTGAATGAGACCGAAGATGCCCATTTCTTTGCATTTCAGCATAATGACAATTATCTGAGTCTTTGGGCTCTCCTATCCTGTTGGTCAGGATGACAGTTATTAGAAATTCTTCCTTTCTAAACTTTGGATCCCATTTATCAGTTTTCCATGACTATGGTTGCTCCACCACTCCTTGCAAACCAGCCCATGTTGGTTTCCACAAAGCATTAATTTCAAAGAAATTCACACTGTTCCTCCTCGCATTTGTATTCACTATCTCTCTTTTTTCAGTGCTAAAATATACATAATTGTATATTTAGTGCTAAAATATACATAATATTGCCCTAACTGGTTTGGCTCAGTGGATAGAGTGTTGGCCTGCAGACTGAAAGGTCCCAGGTTTGATTCTGGTCGAGGGCATGTACCTTGGTTGTGGGCACATCCACAGTAGGAGGTGTGCAGGAGGCAGCTGATCAATGTTTCTCTCTCCTCGATGTTTCTAACTCTCCATTCCTCCCCCTTCCTCTCTGTAAAAAAAAAAAATCAATAAAGTATATACATAATATTTTAAAGTGTACAATTCCATGTCATTTAAGTACATTTGCATTGTGGTGTGACCATTTGCAGGTAGCACAAACTCTTGGCATAGTGATGTTTGCTGAAACACTATGGACAGTAAAGGCAATTCATATCTAGAAGGTCTGTTCCTAATTCAATCTCAGAGCTTTTCAGTGTAGAAGGGGCTCAGGGTAGACAACTTGCCATCAAGTGGACAGATAGTCTCCTTAAGAGATGGTGCCACATAAGCACTCAGTGTTGTTCTTTGTTGCTACCCATGAATTCTTATATATTCTAATTTGAGGCAACTTCTTTTTATCATGCAGAGTAGATGAGATGCACTGTCCCAAACAGGAAGATTCCCCCGGAGTTAGGCTGTAGTGGTTTGGATCTACACGCTGAGAAGACTTATCTGTAAACAAATTTGGGTATTTCCATACTTTATCAGCTAATCCTCAGAGATGCCCCTTCTGGGCCATAGGATTGAGCTGAGGAAGAGGTGCCAGTGTAGCGACGGTGGATGAAAGGAGTCTGAGCTA